AAGGAAGAAAAAAAAAAAGAAAAAAAAAGAAAAAGAAAAGAAAAAAAAAAGGGGGACACGTTGCAACGAGAGACGTTGCAACGTCGACCAGACTGCAATTAGATCGCGCCGCAGTTGGACCTCGTAATCATCGCCACGGTACATAGATCTTCGATTTTTCGGCTCGAATCCGTCTTACTATCCGATAACCGAACGTTTTACGATCCTTACGCTTCGTTTCCTGTTACGACGGCTCCTGCTGGAGCGCGCCTCTCGGTACCGTTTCGTTTACTTTCGATGTTTTACCAGTGGGAACGTAATAATGGATGCGGCGTAATAATGGACGGAAGCGGTTTTACACTGTCTCGTGTCTTGGACGTTCTTGGCGTGGTGAAAAAGGAGGCAAATTTTCCGTGGAATTGCTCCCGCGTTGTGGATTCTTTTTTCTCTTTTTTCAGAGCGAGGAAAGTTGGCTCAAGATTCTTCATCCGTTCACACATCCGTTGTTACAACTTTTTTAAATATTTCGCCAGATATATCGATCGAAAGGAATTAAAATTATCGATAAAGCAAATACCAATTTCTATTCCTGAAAATTAAACTGAATTAACATTGGAAAATTTTCGATATATATAAATACATTTATAACATAAGCAAAATACGATATCGAATTAGATGTAATAAAAAAAAAAAAAGAAAATGATTTGCCATCTATCTCAGATTCATCCCAACGTATAAATCTATCCAGTAGCCTCGATAACCAGCGTGTATAACTCGATGAATCGTCTTGAGCCTCTCGATAAAGATCCAAAGCGCGGGGTATCGAGGATGAAGGGGCCCGGCGTAAAATCGATACACGTCCGCGTAAAGTTGTTGCACCAGGCGCGTCGAATCGGATGCCTGGAGAAGGGAGCGAAGGTGACCAGCCACGAGATAAAGGAGCAATGGACGAAGGTGGAGGAATGACACCGGATGACAAAGTAACGCGTGCACGAAGCGGTGAGGAGCGGAGAGTGCCAGGGCGACAATGGGCGGCTGATTTGTGAACTGCCAGCTCGGATATCGTCGCTCGGCCCACTCGGTTTCATCGAACCTCCATAAATTTCTATGGTTCAACATGGGAGGCTCTCTTTCCGGGTCCGTGGTCCGGCGATCGCAGCTGCGCCGCCCGTGTCCTTCCTCAACATTCCACGGCCCGAGTTGCTCGTCCACCTTCCAACCACTCCTGTCACCGTCTTTACCACCGTCCGTCTATGCTAATGAGACACCTTTCTTTCTCTCCTTTCTTAAATTACATCCTTCCCTTTCGTGCAATTTAGAGCATTTTTGCGGGATTTTTCTCTAAAATCTTTCTCTAAAGTTAATTTTTATTCGCTGTATATTCTATTGGGAATTATTATTCCGTTCAATTGTTTTCTATTTAAATATTTGGAAATAAAACTTTCAACACGATTTTATATTCTCTCGTACATCTCATATCTCGGAAAGAATATTATTTTTCGAATCGAAATAGAATTGAGTAAAATAATTTCTATATATTAGTTCGTTAATTCTTTGCAGTTGAAGGTTTTTGAGATCGATTATATTTCTATGTAAAATTTTAATGGCGAATGACATCTTGAAGAATTGAATTAAAATTAGAAAAAGCGGAAGGAAAGCGGATTGATTTTTTAAGCAAGTAATCGTGACCTTTCTCAATCTAAGTGCCAATGTGCTTGCACGTCGAAGTAATCGAACACGACAAAAGGGGATAAGAGCGACAAGTGGACAACACGGATCATATATACGACCCACGAAACCAGTTTCGCATAATTTGGCGCGAACGATCCTGGAACAGGGCCGGTATGTTCCACCAGGTCAGAATACTTGCACGATCAAAACAATCGTGTTCACCAGCCATCACGCCAATCCGAATTATCGTCGTTTTCTCGTTACAATCCCTTGGACCATTCTCGACACCATTATCGCTCTGCGGTTTCGATTGATTTGCGCAATGCGAACAGATTGCGGTCATCACCGTTGCCTCGAATACGATTCCACCCGAATTTTCATCGTTCCATCAAAAACACTTTATCCAACTTCGCGTCGTTTCCCTCTCTCTCCCTTCTCCCCCAAATTACAAAGAAAATTTTACCAACGATCGAGATCGAATACTTTCAATTCGTTTTGCAACGAATCCCGGCGAAGCAAACGAGTAAAAAGAAGAAGCAAGAAGACGACCATGATGATGATGGATCTCGCCCAACGATTCACGTAAACGAAAAAAAAAAAAAAAAAAAACGACTATTAAGGTGAAACTCTCCAAGCGGAGATGCATGGAGCCTTTTCATCGCGAGCCACGGGAGATGCCGTCACATCTGTAAATAAACAAATGGACAAACGAAGCATGCAGGGGGCCGCCCAATTGGACGTTAAAGGAGGGCGCCCGAAAGTGTTTCGAAAGGGGGACTTGAAGCGAAACGGCCAAAGAGGGGATGCGTTTTAATCAGGGCGAGGACTGACCGATGACCCTTGGAGAACGTTTCGCGAAATAATGCAATAATGCCTCCGGTTAATTTCACCAGTACTCGAGTAGCCAGATTTAGTGGCCAAGTTTAACATAACGCGAAAATTGTATCATCGTTCTTCTTGGATTTCGTCGAATGTCGATTATGGCCACGATAATATTACGATGTAATAATTCGAGAAAAAGGGAAGGAGTTGATCGAGAGTTCATTAATAACGTGTCCATAATGAAACTTTTGGACGATGACATGCTTAATCAACGCTGAAGGAAATTTCGATTTCCAAATTTAATCAAACGGTGGACGATTTCTTTCCAATCGTCAGTGTATCTGCGTCTTACAATTTGTTTATTTTACTTAAAGAAGATAATCCGTTATATTAAAAATAATTCATTGATAAATAAAAGGAGATTAAAATAAAACACATACGTAACAAGTCACCTTTCCATCCATTGTTTTGCGGTATCCTTTTGCACGATGCGCGCAGCTACGCCATCGAGCACCAGCAGTGGATGAAGTACCGTTAGAAACTGCAGAGAGACGCCAGCGCCAAGTCCGTTGCAGCACCACCGGTACAATAATCGCGGTAGGAAAAGATAAGAGCGCGAAGAGGAATGCGAACGTGCAATACGCTCTTTGTCCGTATTTCTCGCCTCTCGTGATTCAGGCTCGAAGCTATTTTTTAATGCCGCGCCATTTTTTTACATTCCTGCGAACGTGCTATCCTTCCTATTTAATGTTTAAATTACCGCGACCCGTTTCGTTTCGTAATTCTTCTGCCTAGGCTACCTGTCCGGGGGAGGGGAGGAGGGAGGAGAGTTTTAAAAAGAGAGCGCAACCTCTTCGCTGGACGTGTCCGTTTCTTTTACACGTACAGTGGGACCCACCACGTTATCGAAACCGTGATCCCGCGATCCCTAATTATCGCGTCGGAGAAAGTGAGCCGCCATGAAAATAAACTCGATTGCGTAATTAATAATAATAATTCAAAACGCATCTCGGAATTCGAATTTCATCTCGACTCCTCTGTAATAACAGGGTTTCGTCGCAGAGGCGTACACGTGGCAAATTTCGCTTCGTGATGAATATATTTGTATTGTACCTGTGGATAGAGATCGTTTCTATCTATTGTCTCGTGGAATTTTTCCTTTTATATCTTAATATTATACAATTAGGCAGAATAGATCTTCTAATCGTCTCGAAATTGTTCTAAAAAAAAAAAAAAAAATTAGGTTAAGTTAAGTTTCTTTTATAGAATAAAATTTAAAAAGGAACTTTTAATATATACACATATATTACGACTTCCTTCTAAAAGAACGATATTAAAATCATCAGCTTCGAGAAAATCGAGGTATTTATCTCTCTTTTACACATCCGATAAACATTAAGACATTCTCCCCTTCACGCCACGCACTAACTTTCATCACGCGAAATAATATTTCGTACGGGGAATAATTTACGAGTTATTCGTACGGTTACGTTACATACTCGGCCATTCCGCGTATTCAACCGGTAATGTACTCCATATTCCAGCGATATACGTACACATAATCCACACGGTCATTTACTTAACGATGCGCTCGCGAGGACGCAACTCTTCCTCGTTTACCTCTCAGCTACCTTCGCTGCCTGATTAATGGGCTCTATGCCAAGAGGACGAGACCGATCGATGATGGATGGGATATAAATGAGTGATTAATCAGTTTACGGTGTCATTGGGTAGCCGATACGAAGCGGTTCCACTACGAGTGAACGTAGCACGCTACGCCTACTGTGTCTATCTTCCGCGCTCTCTCGCCTGCCTTCGTATACGTAAGAATGTCGCTTAAACTGTGTACGCCTAGACCGGTCGCGCGACTAATATGGGAGTGTGCGCCCGGCTGAAGCCTCAACTGGATCACTGATCCAGCTTGCCAATCGAATCGCTTCCCTTGGCCATTAAGCTCTCCTCACAATCGTCAAAATTAACGTGATCTTGATGGATATTGATCGTCTCCTTATATCTTGAAAGAAAAATCGTTGTGGTATTTTTTCGTTTTGGACCATTACGGTGAGAGTATCTGCAACAAGTTTCAAGATCTCAATGCAGTTATACATATTGGCGAAATTTTATGAGAGTTTTGAGATTAATTCTCGGTTGTTTCATTGACGATGAATGTATTCGTGTACAGAAGATGAGGAATTACACGATATTGATTTAATTGATATCGATTAATTGGAGATGTTTAAAGTGAATTATGAATTCTACGTTTAATAATTAAAAGGCTAATGAAAAGTGGTAGCATAGTTGTTATGACATAATGTGCTTTCTTTTTTATTGACCCATACTACTCCGCAACTTAAACAGTGAATGCCATAAAAAAGCCATTAAATCGATCATTCCTTGAATTGTATATTTGCATGTAAATTGTTTTGTTGAAATATAAAATGGAGTTCGAGGAGGAGAATTGTGAAGGAGGCTTAAGGGCGCTTCTCGCAATTGCCGAGAGTAGGCAGGGATACCGAGGGATCATAAGGTGATCGAGGAAGTATCTGATCTATGGCACGGGTCTGACGACTTCGTGAGCTTCCGTGGCTCACTTTTTCATATTCCACGAACCGTAGCTTGCGAAACCTCGTCTCGCTCCAGTTGCATTTTTCTCCCCCTCCGTCCGCCTCGGTTTTCCTCTTCCCTTTGGCGACAGGCTTATCTTCTTAACTTTACAGAATCGTGATTCTTGAATCGATCATTGAAAATATAATTAATTATGTTTAAACTTTCTTAACTCATTTCAACAAATGATATTTAAAAATTGTAAAAAAATTTTTCGACCAGATATCGCAGGCTTTCTTAATTCTTTACAGAATACTTTTAAGAAAAGTGAAGATCGATTAGATATGGAACAGTTTCGTTACCAATCTATTTAAAAATGTTTCCTGATTTGATCGGTTGTTCGTAGGACCATCCATTAGATTTTTGTCGGACTGGGAAAGGCGAAAGAAAGGGTAAAGAGTTTTACAACATGGGAAATCGGCGAGGGGCCGAAATTGGCGTTGCAATAAAGAAAAGGTCAGAGAGACCGTAAAGTTAGCGAGATAATAAAACAAGGCTGGTAATGATGCTGGTAACGTGTGGGGTGTGTTCGGAACGAGAGAAGAAAAGAGGAAATTGCGATGAATTTCTCAACTATCGGCCGCACCATCGGAAGCGATCCGCTTCTAGGAATCGATTATTACGTATACGTTGCTTGGACAATACTCGAAAATCCAGACTTGGAAGGGTTGCAAATTGAGGAGAATTGAGGAGCCCTATTGCAACGAAATATTTTGAATAGGATCTTCTGATTCTTGAACAATAAATTTTTGTCTTATGATCTTGTCTAATTAATATTGTAATTTAAAAAAGGATAATACACGTGAAAACGTGGAATTCTCTGAATCTTCCAGTATATCTACATACAATTCCAAAAGTACGACTATGAAAATTGTGCAACAGTAAAAAGAAGAGTAACTCGACATCGATACATGTATATCAACATTTCATTCTTCGTAATAATGTTCAGAATTATTACTTATAAAGATATTTGTAATAATGCGAATTGAATCCACGATCCACCAAGAAATTGCGCGATATACAACGTTAATGCCATTGGAAGCAAGCAGTCGAGCATTTCGAACCTGCCTCTGCGAGTTGCTATCCATTTCCACCTCGTCGTGAGAGATTACGTTCCCATTCTTTTTTCTTCTCTTCCCTCTTCCTTCCCTCGACGAATTCCATCGTACAACGTGGTTGCTCGTCGTGTGCCGTACCTAATGTTTCTCCAGCTTGATAATTCTTTCCTGCAATTTCTCCTGCGATCGCTTTTATGGTCCCCATCGGTCAGCGGAGAGACCGCTCTCGACACCAGGAAGAAGAACGCGGCTGTGTCGCCGCGTTCCTCTCCAAGGGCTTGTTTTTCTCCGCGAAATTGCACGAGTCGAGGGAGCACAAAAATCCGGAGCAGAAGAAAACGTTCGATTATCTAATAACCGATTCGCCTTTTTCTCCTTCTTCGCGATGATGTTTGTTGAACATGGAGGATGTCTAAATAATTACTCGATCGGCTCGAATAATAATAAAACTCCTCCGATTTCTACGAATGAACACACGTAACTTTGGGGGATGGATCTAAATATTTTAATCCTAAGTCGAATTTCGATTTTCAAAATATAATTTAAAATTTATTGACAAAATTTCCAAAGTAAAAAAAGATTTAGCAAGCGGATATCCACCCATCAAAGCGAATGATCAAGGAAACACGTCCGATTTCACTTTCCCCAAATCCAGATCGTACCGCCGCCGTTATGAAACCCGCATTTAAAATACAATAGAATAATTCCGTAAGTGGTGGTCGAGTTGCGGCCGGCCGAGCGACGTGTCCCGCGCTATCTTCCAGGCATTCATCGCCGCGCCGCGCCGTCGAAAAAGTTACGCAACGCTTCCGCGTGTGCCGCGCGGGGGAAACCGGAAGCGGATCGAGCCGATGCGACCAACGCCCGTTGGCGAAAAATCCGATGTATCGATCGGGTGGAAAACCATCGGAAGTCGATACGCGAAACCGCAAGCCGGGAGGGAATCGCCGCTTCCGCTTGGCCGGCAACCTCTCGATTGTTTCCGCGAGGCAACGGACGTCGTCGATGATCGAAACGACACGAGGGATAAGGAGAAGCGAGAAGAAGAGGAAGAAAAAGAGAAGGTGGTGGAACTCTAGGTGGTCTCTAGGAAATGGGAGGAGAGCGGAGGCGATACGACGGAAATAAAAAAGAAAAAAAGGAAAAAAAAAGGAGAAAGTAAGGCTGGAACGCGCGAGCGTTCGCAGAGGTTGATGGATGGGATCGTGGGATGAGATGGTTCGGAAATCGAAAGCTAATCCTGGAAAAGATTTCTTCCATCAGTGGTTTTTATGGAATTGTTATGTTTACGCAGGAAGCAATAACACGATCGTCATGGTGCTCCACTCGATCGTCGAATATCAGTAATGGGCTGTTTTGCGTACCATTTAAAATGGTGTAATTGATCGAGCCCAATCGTTAAATAGTTAGTTCGATCAATAATAATTATAGGCATAATATTAATTTAAAAAAATTAGATATAAGCGAAAAAAGGAATATAACGTAGCAGAAAGAAAGCAGAAAGGAATAAATTATACGTATACGGTATAAAATTAGTCGAGCTACGTAGATATAATTCTCACGTGATTTTTCAAAGATATCTTTCCGAACTCGGGATCAAAAAGAAAAATATCCAATAACGCGTACACGAGCGTGAATCATCGGCTCCAATTATCCTGTCCTCGAATCCTGTTATCGGATCTCTATCATTCGTTTCATTCTCATTCCCATTGGGAGGGGGAGGATCGAATATACCAACCTCCCCCCACCACCCAGCGAAGTGAAGGAAAACCGGCGAGCAAATCTAATGAAATTAAGATCGAGCAAGCTCGTTAATCACGAGCTTTCCCTCGATCAAATCTATCCTCCCGCGCGAAATTTCGCCCGATAACGATCACGTTGTCGGTGGTTGAATCCACGCCGCA